CGGCGCGTGCGCGGACGGGGCACTGGGCGGTGGGTGGGCACCGGAATGATTCTCCGCGCGCTGTGGCAGCACTGAGGAGGCGGCCGGGGGCCGAGGGAAGCGCGGACCGCCCGCGCCGGGCCGGGCCATGGCGTTCCTGGCCGGGCCGCGTCTGCTGGACTGGGCCAGCTCGCCACCGCACCTGCAGTTCAACAAGTTCGTGCTGACGGGCTACCGGCCGGCCAGCAGCGGCTCGGGCTGTCTGCGCAGTCTCTTCTACCTGCACAACGAGCTGGGCAACATCTACACGCACGGTGAGCCGCGCCCCGCATCCCACACCCGCGGCAGCCCTGCCCGAGCCTAGTCGGGGGCCGGAAGGCCGCCGAGCGCCCCAGTGCTCAGGTCCTCGGCTGCCTGGGCCCTGGCACGGCCAGGAGCCGTGGTGACAAAGCTGCCATTGTCCCGGACGGAACTGTCCTTCCGCTCCCCGGGCGAGGCCCCCGGGGCAGGCGAGGGAAGCAGAGTAGGGGACCAAGTCCGCTTAATCCCTCTGAGCCCCGGGGAGGAGTCTGGTGTCCGCCCCCCTTCATAATCCCTGTGTCTGGGGCACCCTCCCCCGCCAGCACTCGTCCAATAGATAGATGGGTGTTGACTTTGGCTAGGAGGGGCCCAGGAAAAGAAGCCAGGCCCCAGCCCCTCCCCGTGCGGCTGCCCTGCCACCCCCGTCCGGAGCAGCCCGGTCGCGAGGCTCCGCCTGGTGGCGACTCCTTCCTCCCCCTACCCCACCCCCGCAGGCGCCCGGCCCCTCCTCCGCGGCCCTGCTCTGCTGACACAGCCCTGCCCGTCCTTGGGCTGCCCGGAGCCAGGAGAGGGGACTGGGCAGGCAGGGCCCAACCTTGGTACCTGCCTCACTGGGGGACTATGGCTTAGCCACCCGTTGCCCAGTTTGCAGCCAGCAGCTTCAGTCTGCTGTGCCCGCCTTTGACCCCTGTGAGGGCAATGCTAGAGTGCCCTGGGGAAGGGGTAGGAGTCGCCCTGGTTGGGGCCGACAGGAATGGAGCACAGGAAAAGCTGCTGGGGTGATGGAACAGGCTCCGTCAGCCCCTGTCCCCTGCCTGACTTGGCCCCTTTCTGGAAGACAAAAAGACCCAAAGCTCCTTGTGTCTGGTCACCTAAAGAGGACACAGGGGTTGAGAGAAGTGAGCTAAGTGACCAGGGGATCTGGTATCGTCGCCCACATATCCTATTCAGAATTCAGCATGAGGTCATGCCTCCTTCTGGCTTCTGCTGACACACCAAGTTTGGGGGACTGGGGCCCCCTGCTTTCTGGGGAGGTAATGTGGCTGCAGGGATGAGAGCAGCGTGGGAGTTAAGACTGCTTCCATGGCTTACCTGCTGGGGTCACCTGGGCCACTCACTCGGTTTCTTCAACTGAAAGTGTGGATGACGGTCTCTACTTCCAGAAACTCTTTTGTGAGCTCTGCTGTCCCAGAAGTTACTGAAGGCACAGGGCCTGCCTCTGTCAGCCCGGTCGCTAGTGTGCTCACAGCATTGTCAAGACCTGTCTTGCCTCATCCCCCTTGTATTATCTCTAGACTGTGGACTCCCTGAGGAAATGACTTGTCCTCTGTGCTCAAGCCCTGTGATGGGTAATTATCTCCTCCCCCAGGGCTAGCCTTGCTAGGCTTCCTGGTGCTGCTGCCGATGACCATGCCGTGGGGTCAGCTGGGCAAGGATGGCTGGCTGGGGGGTACGCACTGTGTGGCCTGCCTGGCACCCCCCGCAGGCTCTGTGCTCTATCACCTCTTCATGTGCCACCAAGGGGGCAGCGCTGTGTATACCCGACTCCTTGCCCTGGATATGTGTGGGGTCTGCCTTGTCAACACCCTCGGTGAGCCAAGGGATGGGGTGGGTGGGTTTGAAGGATGGGAGCTGGGAGGGGGCAACCAGGAAGGAGGCGGCAGGAGTCACTCACATGAGCCCCGGATATAAAGGGCAGGCAGTTCCCCAGACTGATGTGCCTTTTCCTGCCTCTCTCCTCTGTGTAGGGGCCCTGCCCATCATCCACTGCACCCTGGCCTGTAGGCCCTGGCTGCGTCCGGCTGCCCTGGTGGGCTACACCGTGCTGTCAGGTGTGGCTGGCTGGCGGGCCCTCACAGCTCCCTCCACCAGTGCCCGGCTCCGTGCCTTCGGTTGGCAGGCTGCTGCCCGCCTGCTGGTGTTTGGGGCCCGGGGAGTGGGGCTGGGCTCCGGGGCTCCAGGCTCCCTGCCCTGCTATCTGCGCATGGATGCACTGGCACTGCTTGGGGGACTGGTGAACGTGGCCCGCCTGCCGGAGCGCTGGGGACCTGGCCGCTTTGACTACTGGGGCAACTCCCACCAGATCATGCACCTGCTCAGCGTGGGCTCCATCCTCCAGCTGCACGCCGGCGTTGTGCCAGACCTGCTCTGGGCCGCCCACCACGCCTGCCCCCCAGACTGAGCCACCTCCTGCCCGCCATGCCGGCCTCTCGACAGTCTTCTAGGACCACCAATACCGTGCTTCACTCCTGCTGGTCTTCGAGGGGCCGAATGCCTGGATGCTTCCAGCAAACAGGACTCCCCAGCTGGGAGACCTCATCTGTTCGTCCATTCGTCCCTGTGGACTCATCTCTTCTACTCACACCTCGGAGCTCTGGCTTCCCCTCCCTGCCACCTTCTTTCAGGGTACTGTCCGTGTAGGCTAGAAGGAAACCTTTCCTTCCTAGGCCTCAGTTTATCCTCTGTGACCTATGAGGGTATGGCCAGAGCAACTCCGGGGTCATGTCTGGCTCTGACAGTTGGAATCCTACCAGCCCAGAGCCATGAGCCCACCCTGCCCAACACGTAAGGTACCTCATGGGGGCCTTGCCCAGCCTCCAGCCCGTATTCCTGACCTCTGTCTTTCTGCTCTGCATACCAGCCCTCCCTGCAGCCTGAGGCTCACCCACCCCTTCTCCCTTCTGTCCGGAGACTGTGGAGTGAGGGGTTGGGGCAACAGGACTAGTCTCTTATCCCAGGACCACGGGGTAGGAGGGCGGCTGCAGGTACTTTCTCCAGGCAGCTAGCACAGAGACATAAAGAGCAGAGTGGCCCTGGACTCAGGGCCCCACTGGGCTGAGGGCCCCTCCCCACTTTGAGTGCCATGCTCTGATGGCTCGACCTACACAGTGGGGACGCGCCTGCTCAGGAAATCTCTGCTCCACACGGCGCATGGCTCCTACCTCCAGTCAGCTGGCCTGGGGCCCTGCATCAGGGCTCAGCCTCCGCCCACCCTGGGGCCTCAGACCTGGGGCAACATCAATAAAAGGGGCAGGAAGCGCTGTGTTGCCACACAAGCAAGCTTGGGTGCTCCCAAGATTCAAATACCTTTTATTAGACATGGGTAGGCAGGAGGCACCTCTGGAGTTCCCAGAGGGACCCAGCCTCCAGGAGGATTGGGGGGTGGCTAAAAGGTTAAAAGCACCAAGGCTGGCCTGTAGATTCAGGTTGGGCCCAGTGAGTCCTCAAACAGGCTGAGGAGGTTCCGAGGTTCAAAGGAGGGGAAGGAACCCCGAGGGGGCTCAGAGTCAATGTCACTTAGGTCCAGGGCATCCCTGGGGTGGGGGGGAAGAGAGACAAATGACACTTAGGTTCTGAAAGCCACTACCTCCCACCCCCCTGGACTCTGGGCCTGCTCACCTCAGTGAGTACCTGTTCCGGGGGGCGGGGGAGCCATGACGGGGGGTGGAGGTATTCCCGACAGCCCTGGCCAGGACGGCCTCTGGAGAGAGTGAGAGCCTGCACGGGGTGGGCCAGACAAGTAAGGTGTCGAGGGGTGGGGAGTGCACTGGGCGGAGGCCACAGCTGGGTAGGGGCAGCAAGATCAACCCTGTCCCTGTGCAGGTGCCAGGCTCCAGCCTGGCATGGGCCGGGGGGGGGCACAATGGGGACTAGCAGAAACGCGGTGCCCTTTGAGAGAAGCACTTTCACAGCTTTGAAAGGCCATCTGACCACACTCAAAGGCTACCTCCGTTCTGTCTCAGAACACATGGGTTAGGAGAGCTGGCTTTGTAGTGAACTTGTGAAAATGAAGCTTTTCTGGTACTTCCTGTCGACAGGACGTGTCCCCGTGGCAAGGGGGTGACATTTCCGTAAGGAAGGGGTTAACGGTGTGATTCCTCCTGAGGCCTGTGTCCCAAGCATATGATTTTTTTTGCAGCAGTTTCTTAATTACAGCCCCTCACCTGACCACCAGGAGTTTCCCAGGGCCCAGCTCCCCAGTGCCTCATCTGTGGGCACTAGCAGCCCCTGCTGTTGGGGGGGGGGGGTGCTGTGGCCCTCACTGCTCCCTCAGGTGGCAGTGCCTGAAGCCTGAAGTTGCCAGTTCTGCTCTGCTCTGCACATTGCCTGCACTGAGCTTGGAAGAGACAGCTGCATTCAAAGCAGGCCAGGCTGCACCCCCACTGGCCCTGGTTCCCATACCAGGGCATGATGGGAGCCAGGTTTGTGGGAGGGGTCCTGCTCACTGCTGATCCCCTTGGGTCTGGGGCCTGGCCGTGCTGACCGCCCCTTTCCCCCGCCCCCAGCACCCTCAGCTCTCACCCACCCTATGCTGTCGTCATCCCAGCTGCTGGAGAGGCTGCTGTCCAGGAGGAGGCTGCAGGGCGGGGAGCCAGGTGGGGTGGCTGGTGGGCTTGGGGGCTGCAGCCAGCTGGCAGGGTGAGCCAGCCCATGCCAGAGCCAGCACAGCAAGGAAAGCAGGGCCTGTGGGGACACAGATGAGGGAGGCAGGTCAGACCCTGGGCTAGGGAGCAGGGCGGGACGTCCTGCCACCATCGCCCGACTTACCTGCCACAGGGCCCACCCTCGACTGAAGGCGTCAGCAGCCATATACCACAGAACGCTCCAGGGCCGAGGCTGCCTGAGCATGGGCAGGGCCAGCAGGGCCGAGGCTGTGGCCCGCAGCTTGGGGTCAGGTTCTAGCATCATGGTGAGGACAGAACGCAGCTCGGAAGACAGGCCTGTCCACAGGGCAGGGCCATGTCAGGGGTGACTGGGCTATGAGCCCAGTTGTCCCCCACCACCAGCCATTTCCTCCCACACGAGCCTGCCCTCCCTGGGGCAGCATGGTCCTCTCCATCCTTGCCCTCCACTTACCAGCCGTGAATTCAGGGGGCAGATAGCCCTGGCGAAGCTGCTGCCAGCCCTCCCCACCATGGGGTAGCTCCATGTTGCACGCCACTTCCAGGATAGTGAGACCCAGACTGGGAAGGACGGGGGCAGTGACAGAAGAGGGGCAAGGTTGGCCTTGGGACACAGACCCTAGAGCTCCAGGCTGCCCAAGAAGAGGGTGAGAAAGGGCTGCGATCTTCTGCCATGAGCCAGGGATGTGGGCCCCAACAGGGCCAGTGATGGGACCGTGTCATCAGCATGGACCCCAGGCAGAGCACAGCCTGTAGCACCTGGTGAGTCCTCCTGGCACCCCTCACCGGACAGGCACTATGGTTACTAATGTCACTACCATCGTTCTATTGACAAGGCTGGATATGGCTGTTCGAGGCCGCTCAGGGGTTACTAGCATGGACGGTGGAACCCAGTGCCTGGTCTACTCCCAGCCTCACCACTTGCTAACTGGACTTCGGGCAAGTCCCTCAACCCCACTGTGTCCGCTGCCTGTAAATGGAGTCATTGTCCCCACTGTGGGGGTGTGGTGAGGAAATGGGTGGATGCACGTAAAGTGGCTCCAAAGCGTTCACTGCTTAGACAGCCTGACTCTGCAGAACCCCCTCAACTACAGGGCAGGCCTCCACCCCTTTGGAGCAGCATGTCCGGCCCAAGGCCAAGTCTTCCTGACTTTGGGCTAGGGTGGCGTTTCCCTCCCTCTGCTAACTGCACCCTGCCCTGCGCTGCCGAAGAGCCTCCCCCATCCCAGCCCTCACCTGAACACATCCGCTGCTGTCCCATAGGAGCCCTGCAACAGCTCAGGAGCCATGTACCGGGGGTCTCCCTCCTGGGCCTCACCAGCTCCAGACGTACCCAGCTCCACCAGCAGCCCAAAGTCACCCAGCTTGCACCGGCCCCGGGGCCCCAGGAAGATGTTGGCAGGCTTGACGTCAAGATGGACCAGGCCTTGGCCGTGGAGGTGAGCCAGGGCAAGCAGGGTATCCCGCAGGTAGCCCCAGACCTGGGCCTCGGGCAGGCCGGCGCCCCAGGCCTCACAGTGCTGCTGCAGGCTGGGCCCACACAGCTCCGTCTGCAGGTACAGGATGCCGCCCTCCTCCCAGGCTTGCTCCAGCCGCACGCAGCGTGGGTGCTGCCCCACCTTCTCGTGGCCGCCCACCTCGGCCAGCTTGTGGGCCCGGTCCTTGGGGCCCCGGAACGGTGACATAGAACGCTTTATGGCATAGAGCCGGCCATCTTCCTTAGAGCGTACCTGGAAGGGAGGCAGCACAACCACTTAGGAGGGCCATCCGGCAGATTCCACTACGACTGTACGTGTGTGGGACTTGTAGCATGGCGTCTACCTTAGAGAGACCCACACACGTGCAATAGCAAAACTGGGTAAGCCACTCGAGCTCTAAGTCTTGACCCAGAAGGGTCTCCATGGCACGTTGTTCTATGCAGAAAGCTGGGTGCAAAACCATGTGGGCAGAATGACCCGCTGTATAGAATAGACAGCGAGTTTGTCTCTATATGGTCAACTTTGGAGATGTATAGAGAAAGGTCTGGAAGGAAGGACACCCACCTGAGAAGCATAGTAGATTCCTCTGAGAAGAACTAGTCTAGGGGCCGGTGTTGTTTGTACTTTTTAACAACAAAATTGTCTCCATGTAGTACTTGTGTAAGGAGAATTACCATTTTAAAGGACATATAAGTGATTGGAAATATATTTTAAGAAAAAAAAAGTGGCATGGAGGGTGTAGCCTGAATGCGGGCTGGCCTGAGGTGATGGGGGAGGGGGCTGGCTCCAGGGCAGGAGGAAAGGCAGCCAGGAGCCACTGTAAAGCATGCCAGGCTCTGGACAAGGGGAACGTGTGTGTTGAGGGGCCTGAGTGGGGGGAAGGAGAAAGCAGTCAAATCAGGCACTGAGGAAGGGAGCCTGTCAAGCCAGTGGAAGCAGGCTGCCCAGGACACTGTCCCATCCAGGCATGGGAGGGAGGCGGGATGGGGGAGATCCCCCAGCAGGCCCAGGGAGTTGTCACCCCACTCACCTTGAAGACCTCTCCATAAGAGCCGTGGCCCAGGCGGCCAAGCCTCTGGAAACTCTGTTGGAAAAAGGACTCTGGCCGGCTGGGGTCATATGAGGGGCTCTGCAGGGTCTCAGAGGCTCTGCCTCGGAATGACACCCTCCGGGGCTGGGGCTGGTGCCAGCCTGGGGTCCGAGGAGGGAAGAGGCGGCTGATAGGGATGCTGCCCTTGGCAGGGGGCCGGGGTGGGAGGCTGCGACTGAGCCCCCCAGGTCTCTTGAGGGAGAAGCCAGGTTCTGCATGGCGGAAGTAGGCTGGGACTGGGACAGGGGTACCACTGAGGGGTGGAGGGGTGCCCTCCGTGGGCACGGGCATGGCCAGCACAGGAGACCCTGGGGTGCACAGTACGGAGCAGTATGTCCACTCAAACAGTGCCTGGTCCTGTGGCCCTAAAGAGGCTTCGGAAGAGAACCACGTCCACTCCGCACACACGTTCTGCTTTAAACATGGAGGCCACAGGGACGCCGAGCACCTGCTGGGAGAAGGCAGAGGACAAATACATATATGCCTGCACACAGTCATCTGTACCTTGGAGGTTAGAAGCATAAAGTGAAAACCCCAAGGCCATGTCCTCCAGACTCCCACAGTCCAGCAGAGGTTAAGCTGAGGCGGGTTCTGGAGCCGGACCGCCTGCATGTATATCCCTGGCACATCACAACCAGCTGTTTGGCCTTAAAATATACACCTTCTTCCAAAAATGTAAGGTGGAAATATTAACACAGGCCTACCATCTCTTATCTCCAAAAGTAAAAACAAAGGTCTGAAGCCAAGTTTCTTTCCTGACTTCTTTCTCCTAGCCACCAGGCTGAAACTCATTTCGTGGGACTGCACTTCTAGCTCCATGTTGCAGAGACCAAGTTCCAGGCAGGCGCAGCAGAGAAGCCAGGGGCTCCCTCTTCTATCAGCCTCTGCTCGAGGAGCAAAAGCTTGACCTCAGAGTCCGGAGGGCTGGCAACACGGAGCCCTGGTAGCTCTAGCCCAAGCTCCTTTGCAGGAAAGAGGCTCCCCCGTGGGAAAGGCGAGCCGAGAAGGCCAGAGGCTACCATCCCCACCCTAAGGAGGCACTGTCACCCAGTGAGACGGGCACCACTGTCCCTGCCCTCAGCTCCAGAGCTGCGGCCCAGGGATTCTGCCTACCGAGAAGCAGGCAATGAAACAGAAAGTTCTGAAGCTCTCACTGCAAAAAAATAGTGACTTTATTTGAAACAATGTGTGGGAAGTTCAAGCTCAAAGGCGCTCTCAAAGTCAGTGGAGGCTTTGGTGGTAAGCAACTAGGAGGAAGCTGGTGCCTCCGTTAGTGCAACAAAGTACCCCTCGGGCCAGCTAGTTTACTGCAGAGAACGGGGGAAGGAGAGAGCTAACAAGAGCCTGGTTGGAGTCAGAACAAGCCCCAGACACTGAATTCAAAAGCTACCTTGTTAAAGGAGCCCCAAATTAATTAGATCATTGTATGGAGCAATGGATGCCCTAGGCATTGTCAAAAACAATAGAACAATCAGCCCACAATTGGTGGGGTAACAGCTAAGTATGGGGAAGGATAGACAGAGCCCCTGTGAAACCACTGGTATTCTAAGGTGACCCGCACATGCCCGAGGCTGGGCCCTCTGAGAAGGAGCACCAGAGGCTTCACACCGCAGGGGAAAGAGACATCACTACAATGGCCCAGCCAGTCACTAAGCAAATAAACAAGCAAACAACAGTCACAATCCCCAGAGGGGGGGGTGAGAAACCAGTATCCACAGTTGCTATAGCATTGTCTAAAATGTCCAGTTTTCCACAACAACAAAAAATTACAAGATGTGCAAAGACATAGGGAAGTGTGACCCATACACAGGAACAAAGCAGACGACAGAAACTACCAGTAAGAGGGACCAGATGTCAGATTTCACAGATAAAGATGTCAAAGTAGCCACTATACATATGTTCAAGGAACGAAAGGGAACCACGCTTAAAGAAAAGAACTATGATGACAACATTTCACCAAATAAAGAATACTGATAATGAGATAAAAATTATCAAAAGAACCAAGTGGAAATTATGGAAATGAAAGGTGTAATACTGAAATGAAAATCTTCACTGGAGGGGTTCAACAGTAGATGTGAACTGGCAGGATGATGAGCAAACTTGAGGACAGATGGACAGATTATGCAGTCTGAAGAACAGAAGGAACAAATAACGAAGAAGCAGGAACAGAGCCTCGGAGAAATGGAGGACAGCACTCAGTACACCGGCCTATGCAGAATGGCACATGGGAAGGAAAGAAGAGAAGCAGAAGGGAAAATACACTAAGAAATAATAGAGGAAAACTTCCTAAATGTGATTCCCAGAAAAACCTCCCCACTGCAAGAAAACCACATTAACCCTAGGCAATGAGCTCAATGAACTTCAGGTACGGTAAGTGAAGAGATCCACACACAGAAACATCATATTAAAAATGCTGAAAACCAAAAACAAGGACACAATCTTGAGAGTGGCAAGAGAGAAAAGGACTCACCACTTACAACCCCTCCACAGGAGATTAACTGCTGACTTCTCAACAGAAACAGCAAAGGGCAGAAGGCAGTGGGGTGGCATATGCAAAGTGTGTGTGTGTGTGGGGGGGAATCTGTCAACCAAGAATTCTATATCCAACGAAACTATCTTTCAAAAATAAAGGCAAAATAGGGATGCCTGGGTGGCGTAGTCAGTTAAGCGTCTGCCTTCAGCTCAGGTCATGATCCCAGGATCCTGGGATCGAGTCCCACATCAGGCTCCTTGCTCAGCAGGGAGTCTACTTCTTCCTCTGCCTGCTGCTCCCCCTGCTTATGCTCTCTCTCTGACAAATAAATAAACAAATTTAAAAAAAAGAAAGAAAAGAGAGAGGGTTAAAGATTTTATTTATTTATTTATTTATTTATTAGAGAGCGAGCAAGAGAGAAACAGCGAGAGGGGAGAGGGTCAGAGGGAGAAGCAGGCTCCCCGCTGAGCCAGGAGCCCGATGTGGGACTTGATCCCAGGACTCCGGGATCATGACCTGAGCCGAAGGCAGTCACTTAACCAACTGAGCCACCCAGGCACCTGAGGGTTTATTTAAAAGTAAAATAAAATAAAGGCAAAACAGAGACATTCCTGGATAAAAACAAAGAATTCACTGCTAACAGACCTGCTTTATAAGAAAAAGTAAAGGTAGTTCTCCAGGGTAAAAGCACATGAAGAATTACTGGTAAGAGTAATTACGTGATGCAAAAGACAATGTAGGGGCACCTGGGTGGCTCAGATGGTTAAGCATCTGCCTTTGGCTCAGGTCATGATCTCCAGGTCCTGGGATTGAACCCCATGTCGGGCTCCCAGCTCATCAGGGAGTCTGCTTCTCCCTCTCCCTTTGCCCCTGCTTGTGCTCTGTCTCTCTCTCAAATGAATAAATAAAATCTTAAAACAAAACAAAACAAAAAACCCCACAAAAGACAATGTAAGTGTGTATTTCTTCTCTTAGCTGATTTAAAAAGCAATTGTACAAAACAGTATGTATGTAATTGTATTTGGGCATATAACATATAGAAATGTAACATACATACTGTTAGCCCAAAAGAGGTGGGTGGGAACAGAACTATACTGGACTAGAAGATGACACCAGATGGAAACTTGAATCCACAGGAACAAATGAAGAGAATCAGAAGTGATAAATAAGAAGGTCAATATTATACATATATACTTGCTTTCCATTCTTCCCTCAGCTTCTCAAAGAAATTAAAGAGGACTTAAATAAATGGAAAGACATCCAAAGACAATATAGATCAAATGGCAATACTCTCCAAATTGATCTAGTTTCAGTAAAATCAGAATCAGAATCCCAGCTGGCTTCTTTGCAGAAACTGAGAAACTGATCCTAAAATTCATATGGAATTTCACAGGACCCAGAATAGTCAAAACAAAGTTGGAAGTCTTGCACTTCCCGATTTCAAAGCTACAGGAATCAGAACAGTGGTATTCATAGAAGGACAGACATATAGATCAATGGAATGCAACTGATGGTTTAGAAATAAACCCTCACATTCATAGTCAATTGATTTTGACAAGGTTGCCAAAACAATTCAGTGGGAAAGAAGTCTTTTCTATAAATGGTGCTGAACAACTGGATTTCTACCTGCAAAAATCAGTGAGCAGAAAACTCTGACTTATTTTTCCCTCTAAGTGTGAATATTCATGTATTTCTTGACAGAAATATTAATGTGTTTGATTATGGGATGATGTCCTAGGCCCACAGGTGGTGTTACATATAAATGATATGTGTGCCCTATTAGCTTTCTAAAATCAGAGACGTGTTGAATTCAGAAACACACCTAACCATGGGAGGGGGTGCGGGGGGGGGGGCGGGAGGGCTTGTGGATCTGTAATACTGACCTTAGGGAAGGCTCAACCCAGTATCTGGCATACAAATCCCCCAATAAAAGCTGTTACATAACAAGTAGTATATAATAGTGTTCTGAGCAGTAATTGAAAGAACACACAAAGTGCAGAGGTCCCAACAGTGTGTTGGGAGCGAAAGGGCTGTTATGTTGCTATAATGTTATAATAGAAACAAAAACAAGAAAACAAAAGAGGAGGAATCCAATTCTGAGAGGAAGCCACAGTGTATCAAAAGATGTCATACCCAGCAGGGAGTGAATCGGTAATAGAATGATGAGTGAGCAGTCGTCTGAAGTGTGCCCTCCAGTCGCTTGGGACAGTGAGGGGACCGGGGAGGCACCCCCATGGGGGCCTGCCTGGAAGTCACCCTACATCCTGTGGGGACGCTTCCTCTGCCGGTATTCACCTCAGGATTCCCATCTCAGGGTTTCTTAAAGCGCAGAACCAGGGTTTCAGAACCCCTTCCAGCGCTGGTTAGAGGCCCAGTCCTAGCATATTTGGGACACCAGGCACCTGCAACTTAAACCAGTTCTCAGACCACCCCAATTATCCCTTGCATTCTAGCACCACGGGCCTGGCCAAACAGCTTTGGGGAGGGGATGGGGAGGGAGAAGGAACAGGGGCTCCCGGTGAATCCAGGGTGGCCCGGAGCAGGCCAGGCCTGCGTGACCTCTGGAGCTTTCAGGGGCCTCACCCTCTCACTGGGCCGGACACATTGCTGACCACGGTCTACCGCGCTAGACTGTGAGCTCCTCCCGGGCAGGGCCACAGCTGGTTCACCTCCGTGGACGTGGGGAAACCCTGGCGAACATTCGAAGAGACCGGCTGTCACGGGGGAGGGGCTTCTCCTGGGGAGGGGCCGGTAAACGGGGGGCAGTCGCTGGAGAAAGGTGCTCCCAGAAAGGGGACTGGGAGGCCGGGGAAGGCCAGGAGGGCCGGGGCCCGCCCCGGGAGCGGCGGCAGGGGCAGAGGGCGGGGCCGCCGCGGGCAGGGCGCGACCCCGCGGGGCCGGGAGGGGTTGAGGCTGACCCCGGAGGGGCTGTCAGGGGGCAAAAGGCTGCCGGGAGGGAAGTGCCGGCCCAGCACCCTCAGGACCCGGCATGGGCTCACCTGGACGGATGGGCGGGGCGCAGCTCAGCAAGGTCCCAGATTCCGGGTCGGCAGAGGCCGCGGAAGCCCCCGGGGCGGTCAGGCGGGCCGGGGTCTGCGGTCGACGGCTCTCTACCGGAGGACTCTCGGAGGGGGAACGGCCCGTGAACGCGCGCAGAGCCGGCTCGCGCCAAAAATTCCAAACCGGCCTCGAGGCCCCGCCCAGGAACGCCTCTTACTCCGCCCCCTCTCCGATGCAGCCCATCAGAGGCGCCCAGGCCGCTGGGGCTCCGCCCCCCCACGTCCCTGCGTGCGCGTCACCGTGCCCGCTCCGTCGGCTCCTCAGGCCGTGTTCTCTCATTGCGCAGGCGCGACGTCTCCTCCGCGCCAGCCAGGGCGGAGGCTGGTACGCGGTGAAGTGTCCCGGCTGAAGGGTGGCGCGGGGTCGGAGCTGGCCGGTGGCCCTCTTCCACTCGGTTCCCGGGATGCGGGCAGACCTCCAGACCCCAGTCCCGCACCCACCGTACTCGCCTCGCTGGCTTAGTTTTCGAGGCTATAAAAGGGGCGGTTTGCCCCAGAGGTGCCCCAGGAGGCGGTCCCTCGGGACCGGACGGGAAGTCCCTGCGGCCTCCGGGTCCCAGCGGGGTGGGGCGCCCTGGGCTCGCTGGCTCCCTCCTGCCTGCCGTGCACCGCACCGGGATGCCAGACCTTCTCCCCACCCCCCCGGGAAGCCCTTCAGGCTGGCCGCAGCCACCTCTGAGGCAGCCCTAACCACTCTGGATTTGAGATTTGAGCTCAACTCAACCCTGCCTCAGCCTCTTCCTGGCTGAACGACCTTGGGAACGCACCGGGCCTTTCTGAGCTTCGGATTAGTCTCTTCTCCTGCAAAAACTGAACTGATGCAGCTTCCCCCACGCAGCTAGAGGTTCAAATTGGATGATCCCCTTAAAGTCCTTAGCGGGGAGCCGGGGCTGAGCAAGCGCCGGTTCCTAACAATAGCGCGGTTGGGGGTTGCCCCTTCCTTCACCTAGGGAACTTTATATCCGTTTAACAGGGTGCCCTCTCTAGAACACTCCCCATCTTATCGCATCTCGTTTCCCACCTTATTTTCGTATTACACTTATCTCTATCTGAAATTCTGTCCTCTATTTACTGGATTATTTGTTGAACCCCATCCCCCTACGTTTCTGACAGGTTAGGGTTCCCAGCCCGTTGTGGTGCCTGCGCCTTGGGCGAACATTCCAGTGCATGGACCCGCACCGGAGCACCTGGCATACCAGGTTAGGCCCATAGAGCTAGAGCTTCTCTGGGGGCTGCATCCCGCCCCGCCTCAGTGCACCCTTCCTTTGCATTTCCATCTCTGGCAGCCACAGCCCCTGTGACTCAGGCTGGATCCTTGTGAAAGACCCCAAGCTTGTCCCTAGGAGGTCTGGGGAAGCAGGTGGGCCCCTCTCCAGCTGCCATCCCCTCTGCCAGCCCCATCTCCAGGAGTCAGACCTGGGGCTTCTTCCAGCTGCCCAGTCTTGAAAGCCTAATTTGCAATGATCTAAAATAAATATATCTTTTTTAATTCAGAAACATACTTCCAATGGATATTTCACTCTGTGGAAGGACTGTAATAATGAAGTTAAGTACAGATAGTAGGTGAGAGCATGGGCCGTGGAGTAAGGAAAATTAGGGCTCTACCCTGCTTTGCCACACACATGAGCTGTCCTGAGCAAGTTGCTTTATGTTTCTGGACCTGTTTGTATGTTTGTAAAATAGAGATGATAGTTCCTACCTCCTTGTAGGGTAGGAGGACTAAATAAGAATGAATGCGAAAGAAAATGAATAGCTCAAGGCTGAGCAAGCACACAGTAGGAGCTTACCGTTTAATAATAACAGTAACATTCTGTCATTTGTGTAGTGTTTTCCAGTTTTCAAAGCAGCTGCCTGGGCCAAAAGGAAGTTCCTGGAGGAGAGGAACCAGGACCCCGACACCCGCCCCGGGACCTCAAGGGCAGAGGCACGGGCCCGCAAGTTGCGAGACCAAAGACCTTGGCTGGGGCTCCGTCCGCGAGGAAGCCCCCCACCCCCGGCCCAGGCGCTGGATTCCCGGTGTCCCGCGCGTACTCAGGTGAGAGCCGGCTCGAGCCGCGCGCGCCCCCGTGTGTCCTGTCGCCACAACAGCACCGTGGCCACACCCAGACTCTCCGAGGGAAGTTGGTCACCGCTCACCTGGGAAGCCGTTGAGGGATGGGGCCACGAAACAGGACTAACGTGACTTAAGAAGAGCAGGGAAATGACGTCCCCGAGTGCAGACATGGCAACCGTAACGGAAGAGGAGATTGCGTTGGGTGCGTCTGGGGAGCTGATGTTGCTGTCAGCTGCCGTAGGTGTTCTATGGGTGTCTGTTGGAGTGTGCGTTTGTCTTATGCACCCTTCTGTGTGTCTGCCTTATTTCACGGTGGCATGGGTTCTAATAAACCGGCAGGTGGGTGGTGAGAGGGAATTACAGAGGCCAGCGTTGCATCGTGGGGGTGCCGGGAGGGGCCGGCAAAGGTGTCCCAGGGGCAGCCAATGCAGGGGTCTGGGCTAAAGAGCTGCCGGATAGAGGGCCAAGAGGGTGACCCGAGGGGATTCAGCACAGTTGCAGTTCACAAGGCGCCTGCCTCCCCTCCAGCTGTCCTCCCCAGATTCCCACCCTGGCAGGTGCTGCTCTGAGTAGCTGGCTGGGAGTCTACTGACAGGCTCTGCCATTTTAGGCGACACACGTCCTGGGCCTCTGCCTTGCACTTCCAACACCCAGCTGTCGCCTTGCCCTGGGCTCTTAGCTCTGTCCCCTCAAAGTTGCTCCTCTCCTTGGAAGCTGGGCCACCATGTCCCCTCACGCCTCGGAGAGAAGGGTACCCCAGGCCGGGACTCCATCGGGGCTCTCCTGGCCCCCGTGTGGTCCACGTGCCCTTAGGCCAGGCTGACCTGGGCAGGGCTGGGGATGACCTGAAGGGACTGGACGTGCTGGGGTGGGGGTGGCACCATTGCATGGGCCAGGGGTGCCCCACTGGGTTTGGCCCTGAGCAGCATCAAGCTGGCCCAAGTCCCCAGGCTGGCTGGCATTCTCCATGGGCCCTGCCAGCACCCAGGCAGCCTGGCAGGCGCTCAGCCTGTGCCTCCTGCGTGGCCCCTCCTGGTCTGTGCCCACCTCCTCGAGGGCCAAGCTTCCTCGGCGCCCCAGGGGGAAGCCTTGTGTCTGGGCCTGTAGAGGGGGCCGTTAACTACACTGAGTCTGAAGCAGACATCTCGGGTCCAGACTGATGTAGGGCAGGCAGAGAGCAATGCAGTGTCTGGGGTAACTGGGCCTGCAGACTGCCTGTCTTCGAATCCCAGGCCCCCCGCGTGGGAGTTGTACAGTCTGAGCCCAGTCCCTTCTCTGCTTGTTGCCCCATCTCTAAAACGGAGTAAGAAGCGGCTCCCCTCGCAATAGCCCTGACATGCTAGAACTGTTAGCGTCATCATTTTAGAGGAAAGAAAACAGGCTCAGGGAGGCTGGATTCCTGCTCCAGCGTCCTGGCCAGATAGAGCGGGTGTTTGAACCCAATCATTATCTGAATCCAGTGGCTGGCCTGGTAACCACAAGACCACTCAGACGCCCTGGATGAGACCAGGAGCCTGCGCTTGCCGTTAGGAGGTGGAGGAGGTGGCCTGGCAGGCAGCCCTCCCCGGGGAGTCTGCAGAGATCATCCCAGCTATTTTGGGCTCTTGTGGGATGGTTGGGGCCAGGGGCCACCCCGGAGCCCCTCCCAGCAACCAGTAAAAGGTCCAGCCCTCAGGACTCTGGGTCACGGCTCTATGCCAGGCAGGGGAAGCGGTGGGCATGTGGGGGTGCCGCACCGGGGCCCCGGGCTGAGTGGACCCAGTGGGAACAGAGGGGCCTTATGTGTGTGGCGGGGAGGGTGGGCACCACGGGCCTGGCCATGGGAGTGTGGTGCTGGGGTGCAGCCCGGGATGTGGGTGGGGGAGGAGGTGAAGAGGGAAGGGAGGGACAGGCACATCTCCGTGCTGGGGGACACCTGCTCAAAGCCCTGCCGTCCGTTGTGGCTGCACGCGCTGTGGTCTTGGGAGCCTTGCAGCAGGCCAACTCCCTGCTGTACCCCCTCTCTAGGCCCCCACCCTGTCAGGCAGCCTGAGGTGCCAGGAGGGGCTGAGGGGGCAGGGGCCAGACCCTCAGACAGACAGGGTGTGGAGCCTTCTGGACGAGGGTCTGGGGGGCCTGAGTCACTGCTGTCCCCAGCCAGCTTGGGGGGGGTTCACTCCTGGCACTTCCAGGCCTGCCTCTTCTGTCTTCCCGTACTTGGCTCCCCACCAGGTCCCCCTGCCTGGCCTGGGCTCCAGGCTCATTGGGCACCCCCAGAAACAGAGTGCTTACTGTCCCTGTGGCACTTAGGCAGTGCCCCCTCCCTCCAGTCTCCCCCAGCCTTAGAGTCCCTGCTGCTGGGGCTGAGTAGGAGATAGACGTGGCACTGAGAGAACCTCCTGCAGCAGGTGGACCCCCACCAAGCCTTCAGGCAACGGCGATGGCCCCTGGACAGGCTCCCTGTGTGTCACCACCTCTTAGAGAAGCAAAGCTGTGGGCCCGCTCTTGGACACGCAGCCTCAGCTGGAGCCCAAGGGCCACCTCCTGGTGCGGTCCCGGAGTCTGCGGAGTAGATAAGCTAATAGGCTGGCTCTTGCTGGACAGCCTAGTTGTCAGACCCAGTCTCCTGCACTGCTGCCTGGATCACTGTGGTCTCTGCCCCCAGCTCTCTGTGTAACACAGTAACTCCTTCTGAGTCTCCCCTGCCAGCCACCCTCCCCCCCATTGCTGGGCCTGGCTTTCCCTCCTCTCTCCAGCTGTGTTTGGGCTGGGCCTGCAGTGCCTGCCTGCCCCTTGCCAGCTGCTGGGAGGGAATCTCAGCCCCCGAGGCCTGGCGCCAGGGCCCCAATCCTGACAGGGGTGGAGGAGCCTCGGGGGCCAGGTGGGGGCCTGTCAGCACTCATGATGGATGAGGGGTGGGGCGGGTAGAAGGCCAGGCTTTGGAGTCCGGCCACAGAGGGAGGTGGGGGGCTGGCCCCCTGGGGTCTGCCAACAGCACCTCTGCCACTCACAGCTGGGGGGCCTGGGTGAGAGCCCCCACCCAGCAGGGGTGCTTAAAGGCCCAGAGGGTGTGTGCCCTCCCACTCCACTCGGCATCATGGGCACCTGGGCCTTCCCCACAGCCCTTTTCCTGCTCTGCTTGACTTCTGAAAGCCTGCAAGGTGGTGAGGGCGGGAGGCAGGCAGCTGAGGTTGGGGCTGGGAGGTCTAGGTACAGCACTGGGCCAATGCTGGGGCTCCGGGTGTGTGAGGTCTGGCCTGGGCAGGGTTTTGGGGGGTTCAGGGATAGATGCCTGGGTCCTTCTCCCTCTCCATCTCTGGGGTCCCCACCCTGAGTCCGCACCTCCTTGCTCCTCAGGGCTACCTCCATTGTCTCTGGGCCTAGGGAAAGGTAAGTGGTCCCTGCTGGCACTGGGGTCAAGGAAGAGGGCCTGGTCTCCCCCCTAGGGGTCTGGGAGATCTCTGGGGGAGAGCCCCAGATGTTCCCTAACTAGTTCTGGGATGCAGATGTGGGGCGCAGGAGAGTATGGGTCCCTCACTGTCTTCATGGCAGACAGTCTTGTCCATAGCTCAAGTGTGGGGAACAAAGACACCCCACAGCTTTGGAACCAGGGTGAGTTAGGGCAGAACATCAACTCCAGGCATGAGACCATCCCAGAGGAGGGCCTTGGAACTGGGTCTTCAAGGGGGTCAAGCTGTGACAGGGAAGGGTAAGGACATCCTGGCAGTGAGAAGGGGTGAAGGCCCAGAAGGCCGTAGGGCAGGAGGGGAGAAGACAAGGCAAGGGGCCCAGGGGCTGGGGAGGTGGGGGCAGTGTCACAGAAGGGTCTTCACTCCAGGGATCTGGGGGGTCCTCAGGGTGGGAGAAGGGGCTCCCTCCTGAGACCTGATGCCCCTAAGCTGCAGGAGAGAAAGATTAGGGTTAGGGGGTGGGGCACCAGGAGGATGAAATTTCCAGGAAGGGAGGGGTCCATCGACTCTCCAAAGTAAGAATGGAGGGGAGAGGTGTTCGTGTGCCCGAGGAAGGTGCAGAGCAATCTGCCCCCAGGGATACGGCCCAAACACCTCCCTCCATGCCCCTGCCTCCAGGCTGCTCACCTGGCACTATCCTCTCCCCTCCTGTGACCGGAGGAGAAACTGAGGCCCAGAGAGGGGGTTGCACTCATGCTTGCAGAGCGGGAGGGGTAGCATTCAGGTTGGGCCCTTTGCCCCCTCCTAAGTTAACCCCCTTCTCCGCCACCCACAGGCTTAGGGAGCCCCAGTGGCTACAGGTCAGGTACAGCTGGCTGAGAGGGTGGGCAGGGTGGGAGCAGCCGTGTCCTCTGAACAAGGGTGAGGCACCCCAGCTCTTGGCCCCTCCTGGCCCTTCAGGCTCAACTTCTTGTCTCCCCCTGCCCCCCAGCCCCGCCAGGCTACAGCTCCCCCAGTGGCCTGGGAGCAGGCGAGAGATGGGCAAATGGGATTTGGGGGTTGGGAGAAGCAGTGCTGACCCCACCCCACCCCCCAGAGAAGTGAACTGTGACCCCTTCCGGCTGGCCTCCTTTTCCTCCTGCACACACTCCCCTCTCACCTAGGAATCCATCAAGACTGTTCTGATGTCATCTCACCCGTGTGCCCCGCTCTGGGCACCCCCAACTCTTTCCTGTCCCTGCTTGTTCTCTGTGCCGCTCCCACTGAGCCCCATGCAGGCAGGGCAGGTCTGGCTCACTGCATGTCCTCTGGGCCTGCTGGGAGTGGGCTCCAAGGCCCCCTTCCCGTTCACCAGCTTGGCTCTCCACCCTCTTTGGGATGGGCCTACCAGAGCTGAATTCCCAGAGGCCTGCTGCTCAGCATGGCTGTTGGCCAAGGGGGTGGGGGAGGCTCCTGGGACCCTCACCAATTCCCTGGATCTCCCCTGGCTTCAGAGGGACTGTTAAACCTCGGAAGCCAGGTGGGCACTGCCCAGACCCAGCTCTGTCTCCCCACTTTTCTCTCATACCCCTTATCTCCATCTGTCCCCCCAGGATTTGGGAACAGGAATGGGCTGGGAGCCCAGCCAGGTGAAATTGGTGGGCGCTGGGGGTTGGTTCTGTCTGTCTCCCTCCCAGGCCTTAGAGGGGAGGATCAGGATTTTTTAATATTGAGGGGGCAGAGAGGGAGCCTTCCAGTTTGCTGTTTCTGGTGGGGTCTAAGGGTCCTGTACCCCCACCCCAGCTAGGACTCCAAACCTCCCCTGTTCATCCCTCCCTCTCCCTATGGGTCCTCCAGCTCAGAATGGCTACAGAACAGGTAGAGGTGGGCCCAGGGTGATTGGGAGCTGGGGTCAGGATTCTAGGTATTCCTGAAATGGGATCTGAGACCCTCACTTGATCCTCATCTCCCTCTCAGGCATTGGAGGGGGTGTGAAACCCCAGAAGCCAGGTGAGCCCCCCACCCTGTCTCTCTCCATCTCTGCCTTACCTCCCCCCTCCCCATTATTCCCTTATTCCTCCCTGAGCCCCTCCTGCCCCATTCTCCAGGGTTTAGAAACGGAAATGGGCTGGCAGTACGGGCCTTCCCAGGTGCTGTCGCCCAGCCAGGTAAGGTGGGAGAAGAGCATGGGGCTGATAAGGCTGGGTCAGCATTGGGAGGGTCTTCTTCCAGGCTCCCCCAGGGCAGAACTGGGGAATCATTGCAGGTGGAAGAGAAGGACCATAAAAGTTTGGGGGAGGGGAGAAGAAGGGCACCCCTGTTTCACCCCCATCTCAGCTGGGACCCCAAAAGCCTTTTGCCTCACCTCTCAGCTCAGCATGGCTATGGAGCCCCAGGAAGAGGCTGGGTCCCTGGGATCCCCTCATCTACCATATCTCTCTCCCCAGGTTTTAGAGGTGGTGTGGAACCCCAGAAGCCAGGTGAGATGCTCCCTCCATGCCCACTCCTCTATCCACCTTGCATTCTGTCCGGCTCCCTTTGAAGCCCAGCCCCCTCTTTCTTATTCTTCTGGCTCTGTCTCCCCAGTATATGGAAACGGACTGGGAGCTGGTGCCTTCCCAGGGCTGGGAGCCCAGCCAGGTGAGGACACCTGGAGCCTGAGCCCGGGGAGGGGAAAGGGGGAGGAGGGGTAGAGTTGGAACAGGGAACAAGTAGGAGAGAAAGTTGGGGGTGGGGGGAGCCTCTCAGTCTCAACCCAGGCTTGGGAGGGGGAATGAATCCTCAGAAGCCAGGTGAGGGGAGAGCGGCCCTCTCTCCATGTCCCCACCTTGGGCATGTGTCACCCCGCTGAGGGACTGCTCCCTTCATTGGGCTGCTGCTGTCGTTCCTACGGCCTGAGCTGTGGTCTTGGGGAGGGTCTTCCCAATTTCCAAGCCCTTCTCAGGGCATGCTTCCTGCAAAGAACAGTTGAGGGACACAGAGGTCCTGAGTGAGGTCAGCACAGGAGGGGGGAGCCCCCCCAGAGAAGCCACACTGGCCCAGCTCCAGCCCCGCCCTCCCTCTCTCCACAGGTCCTGTGGCTCAGGATGGTGGCCAGGGACCAGGTACGGGGTGGGGACTGGGGGGGCATAGGCATGGGTGTGGGGGAGCTCCAGGCTCCCTCACCTGGTCCCTGACCCTTTCTCAGGAGTTGGAGAGGGCGTGAAACCTCAAAAGCCAGGTGAACTGCACGCTGTCCCTATGTCTCTGTCTTCTTCCACCTGGTCTTCCGGCCTCCCCTGACTCCCTCTTGCTGTCTTCCCAGGATTTGGCAATGGGAATGGGATGGGAGTTGGAGCCCAGCCAGGTGAGGGCACCTGGGCCAAGCTGGGGTTCTGGGGAGGAGCTAGGGAGGTCAGGGACTGGAGGGCAGAAAACTGATTTCTGAGGGGAGAATAGGATGGGATGATGTCCACATGTGGCTCCGTGGCTCTGGGTGTTTCCCCAGGCCCTGCCTTCAGTCCCCCAGCCCCTGACCCTCCTCCCCAAGCCCACGCCTCACACTGCTTTTCCTCTCTAGGCCGAAGCACTGGCAATAGCTGGGGGCCCAGCCATGCTGGGGCAGCTGGGGCGGGGGCACATGACTGGAGAGGTCAGGGTCTCGGCCCAGGCCTTGATTCCTAGCAGAGGGGCTCTTAGGAGCCCCTTAATTCCACCAGCGCTCAGGTGCCTGTCCTGGGCCAGCCAGCATGCCCAGTCCTGAGGGGCTTTAAGCTTGCAATGGCGTGTACCCTTGGGGTTTTAAGCCAGAGGGAACCACCCTGGGCTCCAGGGCTAGGTGGGAGGACTTGAGGCGGCTGGTGGCAGGAAGTGTGGGGCTTAAACTGGGCCAGAGGGACGGAGGGCAGCTGTGGGGAGAGGTCTGGCGGCTGGGTCCCTTGCTGCCTGCCTCCCCAGCCCCTCTCCTGTCACAGGCCCCATGGCCCCCTCCCCCACTCTGGTAGCCAGGCTGAAAGGAGGGATGTGTGAGGGGAGGGGAGGGGTCCAGGCAGCAGGGACGGGGGAGTCTGGGGGCCTATTTCAGCACCACCCTGCTTTTCCATGTCACCCCCCCAACCCCCCCAATAGATCTTGCAGCTCAGAATAGCTTTGGACCAGGGGTAGCAAGGGGATGGGGTTGAAGCTGGGAGCCAGGGCTGGGCTTCCGGGTCCCTCATCTGCTAGCCTCTCCCCCAGGCTTTGGAGGGGGTGGAAAACCACAGAAGCCAGGTGAGCCCCACTCTTTGTCTCCCTGCCAGCTATCTCTTTGTCTATGCTTCCAAGCCCCAGATCCCCCTTATTCCCTCTTGCTCTGTCTCCCTGGGATTCAGGAATGGGAATGGGCTGGGAGGTGGCGCCTTCCCGGGAGTAGGAGCCCAGCCGGGTGAGGCTCTGGAGCTCTAGGAGCTCAGCCCAGGCCTAGTTCCGATGGGGGGGGGCGGGCGGGGACGACACACAGTCAGCCTCCTGGTCTTCCCTATGCCTGGGAGGACTGAAGCCACAGAAACCACATGAGACCCGCTTGCCACGGCCACCTCTCCCACCTGGTGTGAGCAACATTAGTTCAACAGACCACCAGGGGCTGGCCAGGTGGGAGACAGGCCCCTCCTGAGCCTGGGGTGCGCTGGGGTGGGTGGACAGGAAAGGAGCGTGAGTACAAGTGGCCAGGGGGTGCACTGGTGGGGAGCCAGGAGCATTTGGGGAAGAGGAGGCAGAGGCCAGGGGGAGGACCACTGGGGCCCACTGAAAAATCTGGGGGTGCTTGAGCTGGGGCCTCCGCGAGAGCTACAGAGGGGGTACAGGCTCTGGAAACAGCTCAGAGGCTGAGGTGGTAGGGGCTAGTATGGACCCTGTGCTTGGTGGGGCGAAGCCATGTCACAGAGTTGGCCTCCATGGCTGGCTGGTGCACGTGGTGGCATGACGCCCGACCAGAGGGGACCCAGGCAGCATTCAGGCTCCCCAGGGAGTCGGGCCCCAGGGGGAGGTCAGCGGCTCAACTGGGTGGGGTGGCAGTAGATTCCAGATTCCATGGGGAGCCTCAGAGAGTGACTGGCCCCACCCAGAGCCCCTCTTGCCTTCCATCAGGTCCTGCAACTCAAAATGGCTACGGACCAGGTAGGCACCTTCTAGGGCTCTGGGGACACCCACAGATGGGGACTGGGCCCTCATCTGCTCCCTGTCTTCACCAGGCTTTGGAGGGGGTATGAAGCCTCAGAAGCCAGGTGAGCCTCACCCCTGTCTATCTCCACCCCCAAACCGTAAGCTCCCCTCCCCCATTCACACAGCCCCCATCTGTCCCCCAGGATTCGGGAATGGCAACGGGTTGGGAGCCCAGCCAGGTGAGACTAGGGGGGCTGGGGGTCTGCATCTGGGCACCCTCTCCCCCCCCCCTCCAGGCCGTGTAGGGGCAGGGTCAGTAAATAATTGAGGGAGCACTAGAGGAAGCCTCCCAAGATTCCAGCTTTCGGGCTTGGCTCTGAAGGGGGCACCTTCACCTCTACCTCAGCTGGACCCCAAGTCCCCCAACTCACCCTTCCTCTTCCCACAGTCCTAGTGACCCAGAACGGATATGGAGCAGGTAGGAGCAGAGTGGGAGGACCCTGGGGAGGCCCTGAGATGGGGCTCCTGGGCCCCTCACCTGCTCCTGTATCTCCTCCAGGCTTTGGTGGGAGCATGAAGTGCCAGAAGCCAGGTGAGTCCTGCCCCAGTCTTGTCTGTATCCGTGAACCCCCTGAAGCCAGAGCACCCCCTCCTCGGCCTCCCTATCACTCTCTAGGACAGGGAACCGCTGGGAGGCATGGCCTTCCCAGGGGCTGGGGCCCGGGTGAGGACGGGAGAGGGCTGGCTTCCACGTGGTGGGGAGATGGAGAGCTTAGCCTGTGGCCCAGTAGGCCCGGGGAGGGAGGAGGCGACCTGGCACCCACGTCTTCCTGACACTGCCGGCTCTGTCCTGCCTCCTCCTGAACCCCTGCAAACACTGCCCCTCACATCCACCCCTGTTTCTCCTCCCCCGATATGGTAACGAAAATGGACCAGGAGCCCAGCTATGTGAGGGCAGCCAGGTCTGGGTCCCGAGGAGTTGGGAGAAAAGCAGGAACTGGGGGCGCAGGAGACCCTGAGGAGGGGTCTGGCGGGGTCGACATCAGCCTCCACCTCCCCGAGCCTAGGTGGGGGGCGGTAAAACCCAGAAGCCAGGTGAGCCTCACCCCTGCCTATCTCTCTCCATTAACACCCCGTCTACCTGTCCCCCCACCCCCCGCCCCAGGATTCGGGAATGGCAACGGGCTGGGAGCCCAGCCAGGTGAGACTGGGGTGGGGGGTACAAGTCTGGCGTCCTGTCCTGCCTCCCTCCAGGCCTTGCAGGAGCAGGGCTAGCAAATGCTTAAGAGCAGTTGGTGGGGCCTCCAGGACCCCTGGTTCTGGCTGGGCTCTGAAGGGGGACCACAGGTGGTTCCCCTACCTTAGCCAGCCCCAACCCCCTGCTCATCCACCTCCCAGCACAGGTCCTCCAGCTCACAAAGGCTACAGAGCAGGTACTGATGGGAGAGGAGTGGAGGGCCTGGCGGGGAGCGCTGGTCCTCACCCAGGCCCTGTTCCGGGGGTCCTGCCAGACTAAGAGAGGGTGGGGCTGGCGATTGAATGGAGGCGGCAGGAGGCCCAGGAGGTCCTGGGTTTCTGGCCCTCCGTACCTGAGCCTCTCCATCCCCACAGGCCCTGCGGTTCCCGTGGGCTACGGACCAGGTAGGGAAGCGGGCGCTGGGGCCAGTTGCCAGGGTTCTGGAGAGGCCCAGAGATGGGGAGTAGGTCGCTCACCTGCTCCCATCTCTTCTTCAGGCATTGGTGAGGGCGGGAAGCCGCAGAAGCCAGGTAAAGCCTTCCTCCCTCCCAGTGATACTGTGACTTCTAAGAAGAAATAACTGATCTGCAGGCCCGGGCACAGAGCCCCTCAAAGCCTTGGAATTTCCTAAGTGAGGAGAGCTGTAGAGGTGTCTTTTATTATGTTAATGAGGTGACTTTTGGAGAGCCCCTGAGTCACCTAAGGTTGGGGGCTGGTTGCCAGGGGAACCCACCTTGTGATTAGAGGGTTGGAACTTTCGGTCCCACCCTTTGACCTCTGGGGAGGGGGCCCGGCTGGAGATGGAAAGGGTCGCAAGCCGGGCTAGTGTAACAAAGCCTCCCTAAAAACCTGAAAGGGCCAGGTCGGGAGAGCTTCTGGGTGGGTGACCCCGTGGAGGTGTGGGGAGGGCAGAGGCCCCTCAGGCCTTCCCACACGCCTGGCCTCTGCATCTCTTCTGTCCGCTGGTCCTGAGTTCTAGCCTTTATAATAAGCCTGGATTCTAGGAAGGAAACGGTTTTCCTGAGTTCTGTGAGCTGCCTTAGCAAATCAGTCACACCCAAGGAGTTGGGTTTATAGCTAGTGGGTCAGATATACAGGTGGCCACCCGGGCTGGGGGTGGTGCCTGAAATGGGGGGGTGGGGACTGAGCCCTTAACCTGTGGGCCTGAGGCTGTCTGCAGGTGGCTGGTGTCAGGATTGAGTTACATTGTCAGACACGCAGCTGGTGTTGGGAGAATTGCTTGGTGCTGTGGGAAAAATCCAGAATTGGGATCAGTGTTAGAATCGGGCCCCTACTGCTCTCTACCCTCAGAAACTGTCTACTCCCCTCACTGCTTTCCCCTTCACAACCCACACCCTGTCTCCCAGTTTACAGGAATGGGCTGGGAGTCGGAGCCTTCCCAGGCCAGGGGGCCCAGCCAGGTGAGGGAGGCAGGGGCAGGCCCTGGAGTGCTGGGAGGTGGGGGGCAGGGGAGGAGGGGGTGCAGGGCCCCATGGGGCAAAGAGTTGGGTCCTGGGGAAGAGAAGGGGCAGGGTGGGGTCCGCTGTCACTCAGCCTGTTTCTGTCTCTCCCCAGCCCTGGGAAGGGGCATGAGCCCTCCAAAGCTAGGTGAGCCCGTCCTTGCCCCTCTCCTGCCTTGCCCTGAAGTTGCCACCACCCCAGCCCCAGCCCTCATGCCTGCTTTTCTCCCCAGGATACACACCAGGGCCGGGGCTGCAGCTCCCAGCAGGTGAGTGCCGAGGGGCTTCAGGAGGGGAGACAGGGCTCTTTCTTAGGAGCTTGAGGCCTGAAGTGTGAGAGGGCCTATCTCTCCTGCAGCTCTGGGAGGGGGTGTGAAGCCTCAAAAGCCAGGCAAGTGAGAGACCCCCCCCCCCATCTCTATCCTGCACCTCCTCCTGCCTCCTTCCAGAACCCTCCCCACCAAATTACTACCCCTCATATCCCTGCTTTTTCTCTCCAGGATATGGCAATGGAAATGGGGTGGGGGCCCAGCCAGGTGAGGCTTCTGGGCAGGGCTGGGTGTGAAGGGAGGCGCCCCAGGAGAGAGGCAGGAGAGATGTTGCTGGAAGGCAGAAGGTCTAAGTGGGCCGGCAGCAGGAGCCATGTTAGGTGGCTGGGTCACCTTGTCCCCCAAGCGCCACGGGAGTGGGGCTTTCTCTAGGCTGGCCAGTGGCCCCCCTTGGAAGCTGTGTCTGCCCTGGAAGTCACTACAGGCTGGTGGCTTGGCCAGGCTGAGGCTGGGAGAGCGGCCTGGGGCAGACGCTAGCCTGGGTTCACTGCCCTCCCCCTTCCTCCTCCATCTAGGTCCCTGCAATGGGAGGGTCCCTCCACTGCTCCCCAGGCCTCCCACTTCGGGGGTCCCTTCTGATAAAGGGGGTGGCTGGGGCCCCAAATCTCAGCCCTCTCCCCCAGGGCAGAATGGCAAGTTCCCAGGTCAGTGTGGAGTGGGGGGCCCTGGGGGGCACCAGGGGATCCCTGGTCTCAGGAGGGGCTGGGTCTAGCTGGGCTGCTCAGAAGCCCCCAGGGCCATTCTCTAACTGAGACTGAGGCTCGTCACCAAGAGCCAGCTGAGGGAAATCCTAAACTCTGGCCCTGAGACCCCGTGGGACCCCCATTAGGGCAGCTCCCCCCAGCCCCGCCCCCAGGGCAGGCTGCAGCATTCCCAACCCTCCCTGCCCTAAGCTCACTCCTATCCCATGGCTTTCTTCCTAGCACTGACTCCAGCCATCCAGTGGGGGCTGAAACCTCAGAAAGCAGGTGTGACTCCGTCTGCCCCCTGTCCCCAGACCAGATCAGGGTCACTCCTCCATCATCCTTGAGCCCCGGTCTGCCTCAGCTGTTCAGGCTCCTTAAGTCCAGGAAGTCCCTTCCCGAGTCTACCCGCAGTCTCTGTTGCTGCTTTCTAAGCCCATTTCTCCCGGTTCTATTTCCTGTCGATAGGGAGTATCCCTTCTTCCTCCTCAGAGCTCCTAACATCCATACTTGGCCCCCAAGGAGTTAGGGAAAGTCTGGGTGCTCTCCGCTGATCTCCATTCTCTTCACAGGATACCAACCCCTGAATGGCTATGGACCAGGAACAGCACTGGGTGAGGAGGCTCCTGCCCTCCCCTCCTCTCCTGTCCCCTAGCTCAGGAAGAGGGGAGTCAGAGACTTCGGCTCTCTGACTCCTCCATCTCTGCCCCCCATTTCCTCTCTCTCAGGCTTTGGTGGTGGCCTCAAGCCTCAGAAAGTCGGTGAGCCCCCTGGGCCCCTTGGGTGCAAGCTGCTATCTTCCCTATGGCAAGCCCTGCTTGTCCGTGTCTCTTGCCTTGGCTGGCTCTTTCCTTATTGAGCCAGCATGCATTCACTTGCAGTAGGCCATAATGACGGCCAGAGACAGGTGCTGCCGTGTGTCCGGTGAGGGTTGGGTGGCACACTGAGGTACAGTCCTGGGGTGGAAAGGGAAGCTGCCAGAGGGAGGCCAGGACAGGCTTCCAGAAGGTGGGACACCAGAGGTTGCACAGGGTTAGCTGGCTGGGTGTGGGGAGAATGTCGGTTGCCTCGGTGTCAGTCTGTCTGTCTGTCTGCCGTCTCCTGTCTCTTCATGAGCTGGTCACCCTGAGCCCCCCCACCTTCCCCCACACTCACCCAGCCTTTCTTCCACTGTTGTCTTGCAGGTTTTGCTTACGGGAATGGTCTGAGAGCTGGGATCTTCCCTGTGGCCCACTCGCAGCCAGGTGCCTGGGAGTGCTGGGCTGGGGTGGGGGGCCCTGGGCTCAGGGGCTACTCCTGTCTCTGACCTTCTCCTCCCACCTCCAGAGTTCCCCGGGGCCAATAGCTTTAGGAATGGTGAGTCAGGGACAGAGGACAGAGTGCAGGGGCTCAGGGGGAGGGACATCCGGGGGCTGGGCAGGAATCACTTGAATCTCTTACAGGGTATGGGGATGAAGCACCAGTGTACCCCAAAGCAGCAGTTCCAGGCCCTGAAGCAAATGGTAGGAAATGAGTGTTTAGGGGGTGAACCCTGGCAAGGGACATGGGGACCAAGCCAAGTCGGCAAGGACCTCTGAGGGCCTGGGAGGCTTGTGGCATCCTGGATGTCCCGTACTGGTGGGCAGGGGTGCCCACAGTAGCTCTCCTTCTACAGGTCGGGCCGGGGCCCTAAGTGGCTCTTCTTGGCCCTCCGTGCAGCCCTGGGGGCTTGCCTTGAAGCCTGGATATGGGACTGAAGGCGAATATCCAGGGGTCAGGAGCCAGCCAGGTAAGGGGGTGTGTGGAAGAGCATCATGGGGTTGTCAGGTGTGGCTGGAGGGAGCTGGGTCCTGGGCCTATAGAGAAGGTGTAGGACAGGGACAGGAGGGGTTAGGCAGGAATGGATGGGGTTTGAAGAGAGACAGGTGGAGCAGGGGACCCTGAGCATGAGCCTGGACACGAGACCAAGATTGGGAAGTCACAGACCCCACGTGAGGGCCACTGGGGACTCCGTACTCCCACCTTTTGTCCCTCCCCCCAGCAACCTATGGACAGCTGAGGCCAGAGCTGGGCCCTGGACCCTTCGGTGAGTGGCAGTCTCCCAGGGCTCGGGGTGAAGCTGGGGAGGGCAGGACTCTGAAGCCCTTGTGACCTGGTGCCCTGGCTTATCTGTGCCTTAGGCAACCCTGAGGTGAAGAGAGGCAGCAGTGGCCCACTGGGAAATGGCTATGGAGGTGAGAGGGGTCACGGTGGCCCTGTCCCCTACTCGCCCTATGTCACCATCATTGCCCCTCCAGGCTGCACTGGGGCTGTCTCAGCCCTTGGGAGGGACAGCAGGCTCTCATCTGCTGAGTGACTGATCTTAGAGACCAGAGGCGGGAGAGGGCTCAGGTCCCCTGGGAGGTGAGGAGGGTTCCAGACCTCATCAGGGCCCTGCCTTTTCCCAGGCCCCTGCCCTCTCGGGAAATGCTGAGCACCGAGGCTCTTCCACTGCCCATCCTGAGAGCCTCTGTACCACAGCCTGGTGTGTTGGGCGAGGACAGCCAGACTCTGAAGCTTGGCTTCTGGCCTGGGGTCTCCTGCGGGCTGAAAGTATTAATAAAGGCGACATGCTTCCCTGTTTGCCTCTGTGTGCTGTGCTGGGGGGATTGCTGGCTGGGGTGGGGGCAGCCCGGGCCACCCCCTCATTCATCCATTCCATAAACGGGACAGCACTTCGTCAGTTTAGTGGGGGAGTCACATCCAAGTTAGGGAGGGGACTTGTGCATTATTTATGTCTACATTTATAATCAACTTATTAGTTATTAAAGAAAAAATCTTTTTCTCTTAAGCCTTCCACTTGCTTCCCAATGTTATTGTACTGATTAATTTTATAATTTGGATGTAAAACTCACTTTCACATTCTCTGAATAATGCTCAGTTAGATTATGAGTTTGACAGATCTGACTTCCCCCTGAATATTTAGCATGCCTTACAAACTGGATTAACTCAATTCCCTTCTACACTTCAATTACACACAGAATCTCCTTGATCTACAAATCTAACCAGTAACTTCTTCCTAAGCACTTAAGGGACCCTTGGAAATGAATAAATTAGTATCTCAGATTACTGAACGCTTTCAAACGTCTTAAAAAGCCAGTTACTAATCCAGTATCCATATTAGTGCTACTGGATTGCTGCTTTTTCTTATCCCATGATTACAAATTTGCTTGCCCAGAAATGCGGAAGCAAAGTACTGTTTTTACCTGGGCCCAGAATGGAGGTTGCACAGTTGGGGATTGACCTGCTGTTCTGAACTTTTACTCAGAGACAGGCCAGTCCCACTCAACCACTCAACCGACTGAACCACCCAGGCACCCTCTGGACTCTTCCTTTTTCACAGAACTACTAATTCTTTAAAAATATCCAAGCAGGGACGCCTAGGTGGCTGGGTTGGTTAAGTGCCTGCCTTCGGCTCAGGTCATGATCCTGGGGTCCTGGGATGGAGCCCCCCATCTGGCTCCTTGCTCAGCAGGGAGTCTGCTGCTCCCTCTGATTGTGCTCTCTCAAATAAATAAATAAAATTTTTAAAAAACAAATAAATAAAATAACCAAGTAGTCAGGGTTGCCTGGATGGCTCAGTCAGTTAAATGTCGGCCTTTGGCTCAGGTCATGCTCTCAAGGTCCTGGGATGAAGTCTCTGCTCTGGGAGTCTGCTTCTCACTCTCTCCCTGCCCCTTCCCCTCCATGCGTGTGAGCTCTCTCTCTCTCTCAAATAAATAAAATCTTTAAGAAATATATCCAAATAGTCTCATCTTTCTCTGCCCCAAGGTGAATAAAGGTAGAATAAAGCACATCTTTTTACTGGTGTTAGAGAGAAAACCACAAGCCAAAAATGGAGCGACTTAGGCCAAGTCCCCAAATGGGGGGCTTACCACCTAACTTAATTGCAGTTCCCACCTCCCCCAGAAAGTCTCAACCGGTCAGTCAGGGATTCTCTGGTCAGCACCAATGAGTTAATGTCCCATGGGCCCTCACTATCCGCCCCCCAAAGGAAGATGAGGTAATCCACCTAAGACTACCCCCCCCCCCCTCCGGCCCACCTCCTAAGAGAAGGCGACCTTGCCTGGAAGGAACAATCTTTTCTTTTGCTAATAACTCCCTTGCCCCCTCCCCCTCCTTCCTATAAAAACCTTCCATGCTGCACAACTCCTGGCACCTCCCTTCTACTTGGTGGGTCAGATGCTGCTCGAATCGCTTAAAGCCAATTAAATCTGCAAATTTACTCAGTTGAATTTTTGTTAACACTGGAGAACAGGATTAGAACACAATCTCTGGGCACAGGGGCCACCCAGCGGACTGTCTCAGTGAGGGCAATGGATGATAGCCTTCCTAACCCACCTAGAAATGTTCTAATATTACTCTATATTCTGATTTTAAAGAGATTGACCATTCTCTCCTTTTCTTCTGATTGTCACCCATCTGTCATTTATATCCTCTGTTAACAATAACGTAAATACTCCATGTCATCAAATTCTGGTTTTGAATTATCTTTTCTTTAAGATAATTGAATGGGAATCTGCATAGGTCTTGACCCACGCCCAGGTGTCTCATTCCAGAGTCAACTAAAGGCAAATCTCCTTGGTCGCCGCGAGGCTGCACCAGCTCAACGGACCTGAAGGCCAGGTGGGGGCGCCAACTGCGCGTGTGCAGCGCCTGCTCGCGGGGCTGGTGGGGGTGGGGCCTGTGATACCGCGGGACGCCGTGATTGGTTGGGACCGCGGTAGGGCAGGACGAAGAACCTGACAGAGAGCGCTGCCGCCTCTGATTGGCCGCCAGGAGTAGCTCGTGCCAGCTGGGGGGACCCACGCGAAGGCGGCCAGCGCACTGGCCCGTGATTGGCTGGGCCGGTCACTGCGCGGCGCGTGGCCACCCGTGGGAAGGACCGGGTGGCGGCAGCAGGCGGGCGCCGGGCCCCGGCGCGGCAGC